TAACCCACATCTTTAGGAAATAGATACTGACTAAAGTTTGGTTTCAGAAGGCAGATAAAAAGGCAAACAATAGGACTAAAAAATGGCGCCTTGCAAAATTGTTTGTATCTCTGATATTTTCTGCTTTGTTTTGCTTCACTTTGCAACCAACTGTGTTTTTTTATTGTAGAGTGGAAGAAAAGCGATACTACTACTAAAAAACCTCAGTGTGGATTCATATTCAGGTCATTTACCAAATACATTTCTAAATCAAATCCTTCAGAAGTAACTCAGCTGCTCTATGAAAGCCTCAGAGGCTTGTTAGAGAACAAACAGCATCTTGAAGAAAAGAGAAGACTGGTTTGATTTGCACACTGTCCTATAAACACCGTTCCCACAGTAACACACGCTGCAAGAATCATGTTTTTTTTTTCCTTTTCTTTAGTGACCACAGCATCCCTGTGGTCACTAAAGAAAGCTTCAGGTTTTGTAAAACTATTTTGAAAACCAGGTTTCATTTTCTGCTTACTTCACATCTCTGCACTACTGTTCTGGTTTCTCACACTTAATTCGTTGAAGTTTAATGTGACAAAATGAGAGCTATGAATACTTCTGCACCCTTAAAAGAATCTCAAATGCGAAGGACCACAACAGGAAGCCTTTGTTCGGAGCTCCTCTGAAGCCTCTCTTATCTGTAATAAAGGTAAGCTGCCAGTCCAATCAGAGCACAGGGTAGAGGGAACAAAGGGGTGAGCTGTAAGCCCAAGATGGCCCAGGATAGCAGCGCATTAACCAGCATGGAGGAGGAAATGACAAACAGTCTGGTGATCCCGCTGCCGTGTTTGAGCACCACAGACATCAGAAGTCCGTTTGCTGCCTGCCCTGCGATGATAAGCCACACCAGCCCAGAGTAGCCCTCCAGAAACCTCCGGTCGCCCCTTAAGGAGGAGAGAGAGGTCAGTCCGTTGATCGCCACTCCAAACATATAGAGGTAGAGATTCTGAACGCTTAGGGGCAGCTTCTGGCTCTTCAGCATCCTCTCTGTGTAAACTGCAGCCAGTCCTGAAACGCCGCAGTAAACCAGCACAAGAAAAAGCCCCCAAGCGGTGATGTGGAGCCTGGGACCCTCATGGACTTCAGGACCCTGTAGATCCAGGCTGCTGTAGCTGTGGAAGCCCCCTGCAGCCATGAGGAGCCCCAAGGCGACCCACTGAGCGGACCGCAGCCTCTTCCCCAGACAGACGGAGTACAGCAGCGCCGTGGAAGCTATTTTGAGATTAGAGAGTATTTGGAATGAGCTGGGATCCATGTACGCCTGCATGACAACTACCAGGTTGTTGTTTAAGGTGTAAAGCACAGCGGGGACGGCGTAGGGGGCCACCAGGAGCAGGCGTGGAGGAGATCGCAGGGCCGACGTGGAGCCTGTGAGAGCCAGGCTCAGAGAGGAAATGAGCAGTTTGGCAAACTCAATCATGAGGACGCAGGAGGAGGCGCTGAATGGGACTTGACCGTCTACTTTGGTGAGAGCGATAAGCGGTGCATGAGAGCCGTAGATCAGCACCATCAGGCCCAGGAGGAAACCCCACTTAACCCCGCTCGCCCACCGCCTCTTTATCCTCGCCGGGGATCGATGCCCCACATTCTGAATTACAATCATTTTAAATCACACAAAATGAACACTAGCTGTAATAAAAATTAACTTCAGTGCAAGAAAAAAAAAATTCAGTCAGTCTTCCATAAATATTATTTTCCAACATAATCTATGATAAAACCTCGACAATAAATGTGTTTCTAAACTAAACGGAGAACCTGTGTGATGCATGAGAAGCACATTATAATCCAAAGGCCTTAACATAAATATAGCTGCTCGATCTGGGAAAAAAAACAAACCTTAAAACCTCACAGGCACAGAGACATCCATCTGTGGAAACAAAGAAATAAAAGCAGCAGCAGCTTTAAACTGAACCCAAAGCAACAATGAAAGCGACTGGAGTCTTTGTCTTTAGGTCCCCCGTGGAATTCCACTTAAAGGTAGTTCAGCTCAGTTCCAGCACCTCCCAGAGCTGCACTTCTTCTTCTTTATCATCTAGTGCAGGTCAGTCCAATTTACTTTGGCCCCTTTTTCATTGTGCTCACGTAATCTCTAATGGTCCTTTCGATGTTTGGCACCTGATAGTTCTGAGCAGCATAGATGCCGGTGAGAGTTCCCAGCAGCACTCCCAGGAAGGCAGAAGAGCGCAGCTTGGCCACCACATAGCCGGCCAAAAAGCCCTTCAGGAAGGGAGACCCCAACACTGTGCTTCCCTGCAGAAGGAGATATTTGATTAGTGTTTTTAGAATATTGGCATGTAGGAACGGGTATGTTACTGTAACAACATTTTTAAAATGTGACGCTTTGAAAAAATGCTTAGTGTTGCCTTTATACGACTTATATAGGTATTTAGGTTAAAGTCCTTTTAAGGAGGTGCTAAAATGTGAAATGACTTGTTTTCTCCATCACTGAGTAAACTCACACTGCCAGTCAGCTGGCTTCAACAGTTGGATCTAAAATAATCTGCATTGATTCTTCTGCAACATTTTAAATTTATTTTAAGACAAAAAGAAAAAGAATTTTTTTTAACTAAATCAAATAAAAAAATTCATCCATGTAACCTGCCCCATCTCAACAAGATTGCCTGTTTAAATAGCGATTAAATAAAAAAAAAGAAACAAAAATATATTTAAATATAATTATCATTGCCATTTTTAATATCGTTTCTGTATTTATGATCAAAAATGTTTACACAAAGCACATCACTGATGGACAGAGTTTTGTTTCCCAGGCAACGAATGATGCAACCGACCTTCAACTTAAATCAAGTAGGCGACAGCAGCCAATCAGAATCCAAAAAATTTAGGTTTCACTAATTAATTATCACAGAGAGGAGCCACTCAGAAACAGCAGCCTTACCATCACATGTTAATTAAACAGCCACCAGCCACAAACACCAAATAATTATAATAATTGTTCCAACAGAAAAGCAGCAGGTAGTTAAAAAAGGGCTAAAAAAAAAAAAAAAAGATCAGGGTTTTTTCTCCTCTTTTTTTTTAATTTTGTCGCAGGGGTTTCATTATTTTTTTTGCTGTGGTTCACCTGAAGCCATCGCTGCTGTACTTACACTGCATGTGGAGTACCTGCTTGATGAGATCAGCGGTTTGGAAAGCAAGAACAAGCACCTGGTGTTCTCCCAGTTAATCTGTGGCATATCTAACCCGCATGCTGGCAGCCAAAGGTGCCAAAAGTAGCCCAACATTGCAAAGGATCGCTAAAAGATGCTCCACATCTTTCAGAGAGGCTTGAACAACCCACATGGGAATGTAGAGCTATGAGGAATCCCACAATCCTTTGCGTGACAGGATGTATAGGCCCTAATCACATTATCACTAATCTCAGAGTTTTAACAAAAATACATAATTTCTTCCCTGTTTCAGTTCAACTGTCTAAACCTCCTAATGTTTTGGGTTTTATATTGCAGAGCTTCAGCTGTTCTCTGCATATGTGTAGCTGATGTTATTGTTTGGAAGATTGTAGTCTCAATTCATCCAACATCAGCTATGTTTAATCAATGGTGTCCAGAATGCTAAAGGCTGTCCTCATCTGGCTCCTTCCTTTCCTATACAGAATAGTATTATTGCTGTTCAGACCACAATGTTTCATCCACTGGAGGTTGAGGAGCACTGGAGCCCACGCCTTATTAAATCTCCTGAAAGCAGCACTGCAGAGGCAGCAAAGTACAGGATGCCGAGCTGAATTTATCCCTCAAATCCAGAGCTATGATTATCAAGACCTGTGCAAACACCAAAAGTTCTGTTTGAACCAAAACTTCACCTGCAACAGCCACTGTTCAGTCCTCCAAGAGTAACAGTAGACAGTTTTAAGGCATGTGTAGCAGAACTGAGAAATATCAGCAGTAAACCTTAACAAAAATACAAAAACACTTAAACATTAAAACGTTACCTCACAGAACCCGTTTATATTTAATTCCTCTCTGATTTTGGGGTACAATATACTTCTACTGTTGTCAGGGGTCATACAGAAAACTTTTCCAGGGGCCAGAAATGGCCACCAGGGCCTACGACCCCCTTATGATCAGAGTCAAACAATGTTTGAAGTCTAACTGGCTCTAATCAGTGACAGTACAGTTTATATCTAAAAAAAAAAAGATTGACGCAGCATTTGTAAATGCAAACAGGTCAATAACATTAATTTCTGCTTCTAGAATAACTGATTAATGGATATGCTAGAAAAACAATCAACAAAATAATAAAGTAATGTTTTTATAAGAAATCAGCAGCTGGAATAAAAAGATCCAACATGAATCATAAATATTTTATAATTCCCATTTTATATATTATACAATTACTAAAAGGCATTTTAATCTATGCAATGATTTCTCGAATGTTTCAATAACAGATTTCTGAAATGATGCAGACCTAAGGGCTGGTTATCCTTCCGCAGCAGTGTGATGCAGTGAGCTTGTCACAGATATTTTTTATTTATGCCCAAAATCGAAGCATGGTCTGTGCTATGTTGTTCCACGCCACAACGCAAGAGGAAGAATCAGGAACTAGCTGTGGGTCTAGATACAGCCGAGGCAAAGTAGGGGCAAGTTTGTGCGACAACAGTGGGACGTGAGGGCAAATAAGAGCAGGGATCCAGGTGGAAAAAGCACTTTGCTCTTCTAGCTGGTGCAACTTCACAAGTCGTTTTCCACAATGGCGGTCATACAAACAAAACAAGCCGGTAAGCTACCAAACAGGAAACATGCATAGTGTAGAACGGATGTAGATTTGACCAATCAGAGACCTCCTGTCTGCGGTCACCTACAATTTTGGAGAGGTGCAGCAGAGTGTCTGCAGAAGGGGCTGAGGGCACATTTGCGTTCACTGCAAACACACGCACACCTGGTTTCTGCGCATAAACCAGCCTTTAAGGGAGTGGCGGCCTAGTGGTTATGGCATAAATCTTGGAATCCTGAGGTTCTGAGTTCGAGCCCCACTCCCACAGACTGCCACTCTGGATCTCTGAGCAAAAGACCCTTAACCCTGGCCCCGCACAATGGCAGCCCACTACTCCCCAAGGGAATAGGTTAAACGCAGAGAGTGATTTTCATTGCTCTGTACTTGTAACACTGTAATGACAGTAAAACCGTAAAAAAAATAAAAGTAAATGATATTTTGTTTAAAGTTTAATGTCTCCATCAGATTAGTGATCAGGGGCAGCCCTGACAGCTCACCTGGGGAATGCCTGCGGACACCTCGCTCTCCACTCTTCTCTGGATCGCCTCCAGCTGAAGTTTTAGCTGAGTTAGATCTTTTAACTGTCTCAGAGGATCCTAGAAAAAAACACATTTCAGATTTACTTTCTATATAAGAAACCACGATAAATCCAGAGATAGTAGAACTAACTGATTTTAACTAACCATGCTTTATAACACAAGTAAAACGCGGCAGTATGTCTGCCTCGTTAACCACACATACATACACAAGTTCCTCTGAAGTTTTTTTGCCTTGGTGTTCAAAGGGTCGACTCTTGTCTCTCCCTGAAAGCCCCACTCGTGACTTTAACACATAACAAACTGAGAGACACCGAATGTCCACGATCCTCTAACTACTGCTGTCAACTGCAACAAAAACAGTAAAGTAACTGAATTTTTAATAGATTAAATGCCAGACACCACTTACTCACCTTGTCATCCGCCATTTTTTCTCGGTCGGTTTACTTCTTCTGTGCATTGGGAAAAACCTAGAAATGCAACACCGCCCCCTACTGGACTAATGGTTAGGAAAGTACATTGGATGAACTAAACAAAAAGAGACAAGTAATTGGTAGAACATGTCCGTTTCCACAAATTGATTTCTCCCATTACCCTGTATAGATATATATCTATATGTCTATATTTGCAATGTATATGTTACCTCAAATGCAATGGCGTAACGACACAACAATAGGCCCGTAAGCAACATTATCTGGGTGGGCCCCAAATGAATTAAAACACCACAATCTATACAGAAGAGGATTAGGGCCACTGAAAAAATAAAAAAGTTAACTGATTTTTAAATTTTATTTCAGTTTAATATTGGGGGAAGAAAAATCAGAATTCTGAATTTTTTCTCAGAATTCTGAATTTTTTTCTTAGAATTCTGAATTTTTTTCTCAGAATTCTGAATTTTTTCCAATATTAAACTGAAATAAGATTTAAAAATCAGTAACTTTTTTTTTTTTCCAGTGGCCCTAATCCTCTTCTGTAGTTTTAAGATCTTTTTTGCGGTTTGAAATATATTATATGAGTGTATTTTTTTTTTTTTACCAACCGTCTAATAAACTATACACAATTATAGTTATAGCTTTGCTATTGGTCTTGTGTTTAAATGGCTCACCATCATGTTGAAATATGGCATGTGTTGCGGTGTAAATACGGTCTGGTCAGACGAATTAGTATTGGGTTGGTTTAGGAGAAATTTTTCACACCCTTACATCTGCAAAGAGACGTCCCAGTCTACAATTGCGTAGGGGGCCATCCAGGTGTCAGTGACGGGGCCCCTAAGCAACTGCAGTCTCTGTTTACAGATAGTTACGCCATTGATCAAATGCAATAGATTTTACAAATTTAATATGATACATTTGATTAATAATATTTTCCTGAGTTTCTTGCTAATTATGGATGCATTTCCTTATACAATTATTATTATTGTTAAAATAATTGTAGTACATTATTTTGGTTGGACAGTCTGAAACAGCGCCCCAATGTTTTATTATTATTATTAGTTTTATTTATTTTACTTAAAGTCAACAATAACATATAAAATATACAGATAAACAAATAAATATGCCAGGGAGTATAACAATATAATACAATAAACAAGTCAGGAGGAAAGACAAACAAACTTACAAATATATGTGTTTAGGAATGTCATATATATGAATGTATATAAACACAAATACATACATATATTGGTCAAATACTTATATCTTCTACGTCGATAAATTGTACAGAATTTTTAGTTGGGAACAGATTGAAATGGCTTTTTTGTGCCTTTTGGTGAGAAGAGGGTTTAAGAGTACTAAAATATTGTTTAACTTCAATTAAATAAACATTATTGTCTGATTTTTTTTTATATATATATAAACTTTAAATTCATACAACTGAAGTTTAAGATAATTAAAAGATTGATAAGCAAAGGTTTTGGGAACATTTTAATTTGCAGCTGAAAACCAAATATAACATTTTCCCAACGAAGAACAGCGCCCCAATGTGGCTGTAGTTGTTAAACACTGCTAGACTAATTTTTACGTGTCAAAAACGTCTCACGTGATTGGATAAGACGTATCTATCGCGATATCTAATTGGACAAAGCCCATGGCAACAAAGCGCCATGTTTTCTCTTCTCAGACGTTATGCGAGCTAGGACTTTTTAGCTATAGCGGGTCCTGGTAAATCTTTTCTAACGCATAAACATAATCGTGGCAGATTTAGTCGCCGTTTAAGCAATACCAGGCTTCCACAGCGAATCCTAACTGAAGCTGAAACAGTTTTTTAAAGGTCGGAAGAACGCAGGTAATGTTTCAACAAGACGGAATTTCATTGGACAATTGAGTCGGTGTGCAAGCAGTATTAACACACGCCATTAAACCAGAGGATTTTACATGCATGTATTATTTTTATGTGGTTAAGTTGGTTATACTTTTCCTCCTGCAGAGTTTAACAGTGTTCAGCCTTATTTATGAGACGTATTTATTCAGCACCATTGCCTTCCTTTTATCTAACTAATGTTTCTCATCTACTTTAAGTAACATTATAGTCAAAAATAAATGCATTCTTCAGTAACCAAATGCAGCACTATAGTTTAATACGGGTCAATTCTATTTTATTTCGCCTCTATCTTTTAAGTAAAGCCTATTCATTTTTGCCAGTGTCCTGGACTCATTGAAGCCATGGAGGATGTGGAGGTGATGGAGGTTGTGAAAGTGACTGAAGAAGTTGAAAGTGAGAACAAACGAATGGAGATGACTTCCCCCAGAAAGAGGAGGAGCAAGGCAGAGGAAAACGGTCTGGAAAAACCCAAGAAGCCCAGGTGATGTGGATGAATTTACCTGTAATTTGCTGGACCTGGAATAATTCCTGTTTGTTCATTTTCAATGTTTGATTTTTGAACTTTCTCAGGTCTGCCTACATGCTGTACTACTTTGATGTTCAGCAGATTATGCAACTGGGAACCCTGAATCTGCCTCAGTCGGAGGTTAACAAGCGAATCAGTGAGAGCTGGAAAAGACTTAGTGTAGCTGAGAAGAGCTACTACCTGGAGAGAGCCAAGTTGGAAAAGGAGGGGATAGATACAGTACGTATCAATGGATCTGTCAGAAAATTATTTGTGAAACTATCTGGAGACAGATATATATATATGTCGATTCTAAAAAGCTTTCAGCAACTTCCTCATTAGTGTTTTTTTTTTTCCTTCAGACATCTCAAGGCTCCTGCAAACACCTGCCAGGCTTCCGCAAAATCCTCCCCAGAGCCAATTGCTTTCTGCTGCCAAACAGCGCCGCCTCTAATTATCAGTCTGCAGGCTCTCGCTCAGAGGGGACCATCAAATTACAGGACCCTCCAGCCGAAGAAGGCTTGTCCTCTGTCGCCCTCAGGGTCCCTGAATGCCAAGTGGAACCTGTTGGGTTGGCTGCCGAGGTGCAAATCTCAGAGCTCCCTTCTGTTCCTAGTGACACAGCAGAAGAAACAGTGGAGTCATCCTCTGTTTCTCTCCAAAGAACTTCACTCAAGCCTTCGTTGAAAACCCTGACCTCCACAGACACCCAAGACTCACAGGGTTCTGCTGATGAGACGCTGCAGGCTGTAACTGTGAAAACAAAATCCAGTGGGGTAACGGTGCAAATGATGCCAAGAGAAATTACACAGATGCTAGCCATTGTTCCCACACAGGTGAATCTTCAGCTTCATTACTCTCAGACCTGAATAATTTACAAGTAATAAAACACAATTAATATGTTTGAACTAATTTCCTTTGATCAAGAACCCTCTGGAGCCCCGACCTTTAGCAGGCCTCAGTACTCTGCAGCCGGTCATGATGATATCTGTAGGAGCCAAATCGGATCAGGTTACCAGACCTTCTTACAAAATGGTAATAACCTACATCATGTTATTCATCATATTTGAATGGAAACTGTGATTAAAAGATGTAAAGGTTACTGCTCTCTGTGTTGCTGCAGTCTTTAAAGACTTACACCAGGAGAGGTCGAGGGAGGTGTCTAAATCCTGGCTGCTCATTCATGTATGTCACTCGACACAAACCGCCTACATGTCCTGAATGTGGGAGCCATTTGGGAGGAAAATGGACACCTGCTGTAAAGGTCCAGTTGCTTCTACCAGAAAATACTTCATTTAAAGTTCACAGTTGGTTCTGACTATATTAGTGTTTTTTTGTTTTTGTTTTTTTGTTTTAGGCCAAAAGAAAACAAGAGAAATCTGGAGCTTCTAAGCTAACAACTGACAACAAGAGTGGGGAGAGCCGCCAGGCTGCACTGAATGTTTCTGCAGACATCAGTGAAACTAAGAAAGAAGGACAAGCAGATCAGGGTGACGTCAAACAACCCGCACATTTAACTGCAGCGCCCCCAGAGGGCAGCAGCGCCACACCGCTTCCTCAAGTCTGGTAAAGATCAATGCTAAATGTGCTCAAAGGATGCTGGTAGTGACAGTTCTAGACAAAATTCACCAGGATGGGAGGGGCCAGTATTTATTTATTTATTTTCTTCACACTGGGATAGGAAAAAAATTTACCTCATTGGCTGACCACTTGTGCTCAGTAATGTGACACGGTGGGCAAGTTGTTGAAATGATGCATTCTACTTCTTATAAAAACATATGATAGCAATGTCGTCTACTGGCTGCAAAATGTTGCAAAAAGCAACATTAAAAATACTAAGGCATCTGAATTTGAATAATTCTAGATTATCTGCTGCATCACTATGTTTCTAAGAACTAAAGAGATAGAACTTTAGACATAAAGCCCATGTCTGTGGTCAATAAATAAATATTAGATTTTACAAAGCATTATGTTTATTATTTGAAATATTATTTAAATATACATTTAGAAATCAGGAATAGCACACATTTCTTTTTTTTTATTTTAAATGACAATTAGTTTTAACAAATTCAGTTAGAAGTTAAGTAAAATATTATCAAATAAACTGTTAAGATAGTAAAAAATAAATTGATGCAAGGTAATGTGGTGTCTGTTCCAGGGCATTGATGTGTTTAATTAGTATTATGTCATAGTTTCAGGGGCCAGGAGCTGTTTTACAGGAAAACCAGTATCTGCTGTTCATTTCACTCATCCTTTATTTGGTATCTTTCCGACTTGGTTTGCGTCTAAGGTTAGCTTTAGCTAACCAATTTCAGATAAACTGGTAAAACTAATACAAGGAAGAAAAAACCCCACAAATTTAGATAAAATTTCAATATAGTTCTGATGTTTGCAAATATTGATGCATTTAGCAGACACTTTTATCCAGAGCAACTTACAAAGTAGGCATGAACATAGCGTGAACGGTCTTGCCTAAGAACCCACACTGGCTCTTATTACCCCAGCAGGGCTTCTAACACAGGGCCTCCTATCCGTAAGTCGGGTGACTTACAACTTGAGCTAGTTAGCTTTAGCTCCCCTTTGTTTTCATTTAAGATTAAATTAAACCACTTCTATTTGTCTTCCTGCTTTTTATTGTATTATTTTCTTTTGTGCTATACCAAGGACACAGATAAAAGGAAGCTCTAAAAACCCTTCTGAGAAAGCAGTAAAGAGCAGTGGTGTTGTCCAGAAGAGGCCTGTGAGACCTATCCTTCCTGCCCTCTATAAGCCAGGTAACCCTGGACAGAGATCAGATCCTCCATCACATGCTGTGTCAGCGTGAGGATAAGCTGTTAACACCTGAGCCGACATATTTGTTTGTTTTTGGGTTGAATCGCAGGCGGTGCCGTCATTCAGATCTTGCCTGTCCCGCCTGAAAAAGAAAAACTTCAGGGTGTTTCCAAAAACAAGAATGCATCTGAAGGTATGCTACATGTCGTTCCGTTGTTTTCAATCATGATTTTACACATGGTGCTAATTTAGTCACACTTGTGACCTTTGCAATACACGGTGGAGAAATTAGATTTTTTTAGATTTCTGTCTCTAGCTGCAGCGCCTCGGGAGAGTTTGTCGGGTCTTAAACCCAGCACTTTAAAGCAGCTTGGTCAGACCGTCCCAACGAACTCTACCAACCAGGTTAAAATCCACAAAACACTGACAGCTCAGAATAAAAGAGACAAAGTCAAGATTTCTTCACTTGCTCCTCCTTTTTCTGCAGGACCCCTCTGCTCCTGCAGACAGAAAACAGCATGTCACCTCATCCTCTGACAGAGGTGTGAATGTTGTGTCCCTGATGCCTTTTAAACATACGGTTTCCTGCTTTGTAAGTAAACTTAGAGTTTGTGAGGAAGATTAATTTTTTTTAATGTTTCCATGATATGTTTTAAGGTTTGTTTAAGAGATCTTTTTTCTTGCATGCTTTTGTAGGATTTGGGGCTATCTACAGCACGAGGACGGGGCCGCTGTAAGAACCCGGCCTGTGACTACATTTATAAGAACCGCCATAAACCTGCTGTTTGCCCCAAATGTGGCAGCGAGCTGACCAGAAAGAATACCACATCTCCTAAGGTAGGACAAGCCCTACAGGTGGTGCAGGTAGCATACAGGCTGGGAACGTAATACAGACATTGCATGAATTTATTTTAACTTTACATCAAAATATGTAATCTGCAACATCTGCGAAATTTAAAACCCAAATCTATCGAGATTTGACGGCCAATCTGGGATCTCCGCGTTTAGAGAGCTGCTACCTACAGATTCTCATATAAAATTTCTCTTTAGGTACGCAAATATTTCTTTCAAGATATACTTCTACTATTTTCTCCAAATATCGTAATGACTGTTTAGTTTCCAGTAAATTGACCTTTTCTTTAGAATCTTTTGAGAGTTGCAGCATCAGGACCATGAAAAAAAAATGGTATCTAGATTGGTAAAAGTCTATCCAAACGGCCAAACATACAGAATACATGCATTCGTCTTGAAATAACCTCCGAAATATGGCATCCTAACAAGCCTTTTTAATGTTTTTGCTCACATTGATGTAGGAATTATGACTGCACTTTAATGTACAGTGCAGCTGTAGTCACAAACTTTATTACTGCACACTTAAAATTCACCATCTTAAAGACAATCTAAGTCTTTAGGTTGGAGGGTTATAATGAATATTATTGCTGTAGCCTTGCAGCAAGGACGTCCTGAGTTCAAACCATGAGTAAAAAAAAAAAGAAACCCCATTTGGGATCTTTCTTTTGTAGTTTGTACAGTCTTTTTTTATGCATTTTGTGTCTCTCTGGTTACCATGACTACCAGGTTCATTTTTCTCATTAAAATTGCTTTTAGATCTAAATGTGTTGTTTGTTCCTGGAAGGATCAGCAGGTGGATAAAACAGAGAGTTTTCATGTTAGTATTTAGCATGGTTAGCATTAATAGCTAGGCAAAGCAGAGTCTTTGTTCCCTGTAGAGAACTGTAAGATTCATAAATGATGGAAGTTTCCAAATTTAGCGTCTTCCCTGACAGGCAGGTAAAAGGGATAAAAATGGGAAAGCTAAATTCAGCTTTGTTGCTCTCTGCTTAGATGGGTTGGCTGCTTGCTGATACGCCTCCATAATAACTACCTTTTTCCTTTCTAGAAGCTCTTAATGGCTTTTTTGGCTCCCTGACTAACTGAGCTATTATGAACCGCATTGCCCCTTCTTCCCTCAATACTACCAACCTCCATACAACTTGATCTAGTGTGACATGGTTTTCCTTTTGATGCATCATTGTGCTGTTAATGTTATTCATTTCTTGTTTTTCTTTCCTTAGCCTGAGACTTTGCTAGATCCCTATCAGGAGCTGAGTCCTGCCCAGAAGGACATCCAGCGGCAGAGCACTCTGCAGTTAATCCGCAGCATGCTGCAGATTCCTGAGAGCGAGACGGAGCTTCAGGAAATAACAAGAATCATCCAGGAGCTGAACAGTGTTAAAGTTGTTTTGGTTCGTAGTGGTGAGGAAAACAATGTCGACACTGAGACGCTCTTTGAGACTGGGTGGCCTCAGTTTTATGAATCGGCAGCTACACACTGCGGCCTGTGTAACTACCCTCTGTTCAAAGGGGGGCAGGGGTAAGGGTGCACCTGAGAAGTCTTTCCTTGTTTAGCGTTCTGTCTCCAACCATGTTGTTGGTTAATCAATCTGTGTGTTTTTATGATCGGACCCTGCAGTACCGTCGCAGGGCAGGAAGACTGCTGGCTGCTGACGGAGACTCTGATGCAGACGGCATCTCTGCAGCTTAAAGTGTGTCCCAACGTTAAATGTTTGGCCCTGCACTGCTTCACAGATCTGCATCCAGGTAAACACAATCACTCAGCAGCTGCACCTAATAAGATTTTATTGTAGTTTCATTTTGAGGTAAAATCAGTTTTTTGAGAGACTTCTGAGTGATCGACTGTAGAACAAAGCTCACCTGGTCAGATTTTTCTAATTATTCTCATTTACTCAGATTTATCAACTGGCCTCTAGGGGGCACCCCAACCTAAAACATATTGGGTGTCAGCAGCATGAATGTCTTTTGTTGTTGTTGTTTTTTTAACCTAGTTTCTTCTAGTTTTACTCAAAGTGCGCATGTTACCAAAATCCTATTTGACACATCTTTTATTAGTACATAATAAAGGAGTTATATTTTTAACATACATTTTAATTGTTTTTTCATCTGAGACCGCAGTATTTATCTTTTTATCTCAATTTCAGCGTTTTTGATTAATTTAAGAAACAGAAGGGTGAATGATAAACTGTTTGATTTAAAAGTTGTTTTATCTGTAAGCAGCAGGCATTATGTTGTTGCTAGGTTTATGTTTTTTTTCTCTAAATGTATCTCTGAACATCTCATTCCTAATACCCTGTAAATAAACAGTTTTTATTTCTCCTCACATGCTTTTATGTATTATTTGTAGATCTCTCCAATAATAATTGTTAAAGGATGAATGTAATGGAACTAAATATTAGCTGCCAAACTCTACGTTAGAACAGTTAGATATATTTGTATGAAATGTTGTTTTTTGGTTTGTTTAGGTTTGTTCAACATTGGGAACCGACTGCTTGTTAGTCTCGACTTGTTTCTGAAGGTCAGAGCAAACATCAAACTGGGCCAAACTCCATCTCAGGCTGCCAGGTCTGTTTTTGACCAAATCCCAAATCATCCAGGTAGATTCCAGATTTACTCTGCACGCATTTATTCATACAGTTAAGTTTGTGTTTCGATCAGTCTTTCAGTGTCTTTGGTCTTCCATTAGTCCACAGTCTGTCCTCAGAGGGATCATCTCAAGTTCAAGAGCTTTTCCTGTGCGGTTACTGGGCCTTTGAGTGTCTGACAGTGCGGGATTACAACGACATGATCTGTGGTATTTGTGGCATTGCTCCAAAAGTTGAGATTGCACAGAGGGACAGAAAATATGCACTGGAGCTGAAGAATGTGGAGGTGACAGAGCGTGAATATGATTTTGCAACTCATTTAGCAGCTTTGGAAAGATCTATGAGCCTATTTATTTCATAACCTCTGCAGTTCACCTGGCCTGAGGGTTCAGTCTCAGATGAAGTACTGGTGGATGACTTCTGGCTGACCATGGAGGGCGAAGCGATCGAGCAGGCAGCTTTCCCTGCAGACATCCCCATCACACAGATGGATGCTTCCATCATCGCTCCATTTGCCCCCCCTTTGATGAGGAGCCCCACAGTCATCAACACAGAGAAGGACAAACTCATGGCACAGATACAACAGCCTGCAGGTTTTTGTTACTCTTGCTTTAGAAGGGAGAATTAAAAATGTAGGCCCCTGCATGAATAACATATTTAATGTTGTTTTGTTGATGCTTGGTAAACTAGATGATCAATAATAAAAATGTGCTCAGATGTAAGGGAAACATTACGGCGTGTTAGTTTCTCTGCCATTCCAACATCTTCAGATTTTTTGTGTTTTCAGGAGATCCATCAGTTTTGGTTCGTCTGATCCATGATGGGCAGCTCCGACTCCAACAGGTTGAAGATCACAGCGAGGAGGAGCTGAGAGTGATACTGGAGTCCTGTGGGGTTGGCCTGGCTACTGGCTCCACTAAGGTGTGTATTGGTGGGGGAAAGACTAATGTGTGGGTGTATCCTCCTCTCAGCTTATAGGAGCCTTTAAGCAAATTATTAACCCCCTTTGAACCCTTTTATTTTCACTCTTTGCAGTCATGCACTGGAGAGTTTTTTTATAATGTGATTTAATCTTATAGACTATCACCCTGTAATGCTTCTTAAGTGGAAGAATATCTGTTTATTGATTGAACAATTTTACATAGAAAAAGTTGATAATCAGGCTATGCATGTCTATTTAGCTCTCTTTATTCTAATACCTTGATTAAGACTGGTTCACATGGCAAGATTTTAAAACTGTCAGGGGATTTATTAATACAATTAATCAAATGCAACAGAAAAACACTGCAAACCAAAGGTTAATGAGCTGCAAATGTGTGCAAATACAAAGCATACAGCGAGATGAGCGGCAAATACACGGATCATGCAAACTCCAAAACATGCAAACATGAAAAATAATTGCAACTGGAAAAGGCTGCAAACAAAAAATGCTGCAATCAATAAAACAGAAACAAAAAGAAAACTTCAACAAAACAAATGAAATGAAAACATTCAGCAACCACTAACAGAATACTGTAATCATAGAAACAAAATGATACAAACAGTAAAAACAGCAGCAAACTTGTTCCACGAAACGGAAGTGCTTCAGACCACTAGAGGGTGTTAAACAAAAAACTAATCACATCAGCCCACATAAAACAATTAAAAAAGCTGCATTGAGAAAAAAACCTAGTTGGTAAATTAAGCTCATCCGTCTCTTTACATGAGAATAAAATCACGTAATATGACTTAATATACTGTCAAAAATAACTTAATGTGGCAGTTACACCAATTAAATGTTCACTTCTCTCTCTGACAGCTGCTCCTTTGGTCTACTTTACTCAGACCTGCTCTATTATATGTGATCTTGTAATTTGGCTTCTTAATCATTAAAGTTAACATATTTTTTTTTGTTTCTTTCTTCTGTCTCTGACTTCTAGAATGAGCTTCTGGCCACTCTAGTCAACCTGTACACACATGTTCACAGTGGCCTTTCCACAGCTCCACAGCCACCGGCCCATCTCACAGCAGGCAAGCTCTCCAAGGTTTGCCCCCACAAGGTAAAAACAAGAGCTCTGCTATTTGTATATCCTTTACAATGAGTGTTTCACCTTGTTAGAAGTGTACATTCCTTCTTCAAATTTCCTTTTGTTTTTTTTTGTATTATAAAATTCCCTTCGTAATAAATGCTGGGTGTGAGGTTGGAAGCAAATGATCAAGCAGGTCCTGTACAAACGTTTTGCTTAATGCCCTCTACTTTTCTAACACCCCTTCCTCATCTTCAGAACATTAAATGAAGCTATGCTTTGCCATACAGCACAGCTTAGTGTTTATGTTTACAAATAAAACTGTGTGAAGTTCATTCTGCTTTAAACAGGGTAAATAATCTCAAACCAAGCTCTGGATCGATTCATTCATCTAGGAACTCTGTATTAATTTCCATTTGTGTTATTGAACACTCGTTATGCTCTCTGCTTTTTCCTCATAGTAGCTTTGTTTATAGATGTTCGAGAGCTAACTTTTTTCAGTGTAGTCCTGTTTCTCTGACTGTGGCTGTCTGGATGTGCTCTCTTCATCCTCTGACATGGGAGCTGGCTCGGAGCTCGTCTGCCTGGCTGTGTGTTTCCGGGCCTCCTTTTACAGTCGCTTTTTGTATCTCTGCTTCTGTCTCCTTGAACCCCAGTCGGCCTCGGCAAATGGCCGCTCACACTGAACCTCGTTCTGCTGGAGGTTTCTTCCTGTTAAAAGGGAGTTTTTCCTCTCCACTATCGCTACAAGCATGCTTAGGCTGAGGGATTGCCTTTGAGTCAATGAGTCGATGCAATCAACTGGTTTTCCTTTGATAGAAAACTTTGAATCAATTTGACTGCATGATCTGGTGAACTGTAAAGTGCCTTGAGATGACATGTGTTGTGAATTGGCGCTCTAGAAATAACCTGAATCGATCTCAGGCTAAGGAATTGAATTACTACACTACCTGTCATCTCCTCATCCTGCCTGTAGGTGGTGTGTTCCTCTAAGTACTTGGTGAGAGGAGAGACGGCTCGGGACCACGTTGATCTGCTCCTGTCCTCCCGTAACTGGCCCCCAGTTTATGTTTGCGACTGTCCTCGTCAAGTGGCGCTTTGCACTGATCTGCAGTATCCGCAGATCGCAGCACAGATGTGGGGCAGGAACCAGGGCTGCTTCTCTGACCCCTTCGAAAAGCCAGAAGTGAGTCTTTCCACAAAGTCTGTATCTCAGAAACATTTCTGAAATGAAATCAATAAATTTACTGGAAAACAGATAAAGGCGAGGCATGGCCAGTGCTCTGCACGGATTACCCTTAATGAGCCTCATGCTTTTATTGACTGAAAACACAGGATAGCCATGATATCGATTTGATTCCAATCTACTGTATTATTAAATGATAAACTTCAGGGTTCTCTGCAAATATGATGTTGTGTCTCTGTGTTGTTTTTCTATAAAAAACAATGTATGTTTCAAACCAGGTGGACTTTTGTTTGTGTTTCAGTTTGTGTCATGCCCTGAGCTACAGGACCAGCCGGATGCCGACCTCACCTTGGTGACGGAGAACCAGCAGGTTCACCCCATCACAAAGTCTCCTTCCTGCTGGCTGGTTTGTCCTCCAGGGTCTGCGCAGCAGACCTCTGCCCTGGAACATCACTCTATGACCCACTGCAGAGATCTGGAGCCATATATCAATCTGCTAACAGATCAGGACACTGAGACCAAAGAGAAGCATCACACAGAGGAAGCTCTAAAAGAACAGACTGATATAACAGAGAAGGCCTCTTCTAAGGAAGCAGAGGACCGTACAGACAGTGCAAACAAACAGCCCGTGGTTTTCAACAACGCAGCTTATTATTACCTGTATAACCGCCTGGTAGACTTCCTCAGCAGCAGAGAAGTGGTAAACCAGCAGATCAGCCAGGTTGTGAAGGCTTGTCAGCCTGGACAGGTGGTGATCAGAGATGCTTTGTATCGCCTCGGAGTGGCAGAGATAAACACAGAGAAAGATGGAGACGAGTTAGAGACAGAGACAGGAGAGAATCACCCGATTGTTCAGGGTGATTAGAAAATAAATCAGTGCCGTAAAGAGATTAAGGTGCAGAAATGACTTTAATAATATCCAGGAGGCAAAATAAAGTGCTGGTCACAATTTTTTAATATGACACGTTGAAGTATTAGCCTAATGGCAGATAGATTAAATAAATTTTCTGGTCTGTTTACAGCAACTTGCTTATGTAACTTAAAGGGTGGGATGTTTCACTAAATGGCTCATGTGACCTTATAGCGCCGCTCTAGTGTAAGTTATAGGTCTAGCTCCACGAATGACTTAAAGATACACAGTGTTGCTTTAATACGACATAAGAGTTTAAAAGTTAAGACGCTGCCATTTAGAACCCTGTCAGCTGTACTTCAGAGTATGAAATAATTTTATATACTAACATAAGTATAAGGTCCAAGCTGATAACAAAGCTGCTATGCTCCTTTTTTATTTTCACACATATGTAGAACGTTATCTAAATGTTTTTTATATAAAACATAAAGGATAAAAAATTTTTTTCTGATACTTGACTGAGCAGAATTGGATAATAGTCAAAAGGAACAATTAATATATATTACAGCAGTTTCACAGATATAATCTGTAGCATTTATCATTTAAATTTCATTTTTTAATTTTTAAGTTTCAGTCATAACATTTCAAGAAATATAAACACACATTAAATGTAGCCATTTTTCCCACAATAAGGCCACTAAGTTTCCACAGTGTTATTGTTTTTTTTTTTGTTCCGGAGTGAACCGACCTTTTAATTCTTTTCATAAAGCAAACTGTGATTAAGCTTTCTTTCAGTCAGCTGATCGTTGGCAGCAATTAGTGAGGAAGAGGCAGTGCTGCTACCCAGCTGGAGAAACCTTCCGTCCATTTTTCATATTTAAAGTATTTGTAATATCTATAGATTTGACTTGTAAAGCTCTGAGGCAACAAGCCAGAGAGAAACTTCACTACACCTTCAGTCCAGCAGGTGGCAGGGATGAGAAAACTTGTTCTCCCTTTCTTTACAGTGGCAACCACTTGAGTAAATCCATCAACATAAAAGTTTATTTTCTTTTTCTTTCAAAATCAATCTGCATCGGGCCAGAGTTCCTTTATAACTGCAGGATTTATTTAAACTAACTAATGCTGTCGGTTTGCAGCCGAGTGTGAAGTGGCAGGGATGAGGATCAGTGCCTCCAATTCTGAGACCATGGTCTTGAGCTGGAAAAGAGTAGAGTGCTTTTCCCTGGGTTTGGAAGGATGTACTGCCCCTGGTGGAGGAGTTTAATTATCTTGGGGTCTTGTTTACAAATGAGGGGAAGATGGAGCAGGAGGTCGACAGGTGGATTGGTGAATCGAGAGCTGAGCCAAAAAGCAAAGCTCTCGATGTGCCGGTCTTATCTACATTCCTACTCTCATCTATGGTCATGAGCTTTGGGTCATGACCGAAAGAATGAGATCCCGTTGTGTGTCTGGGCTCTCCCTTAGAGATAGGGTGAGGGATTCAGTGTAGAGCCGCTGCTCCTCCACATCGAGAGGAGCCAGTTGAGGTGGGTCAGGCATCTGGTTAGGATGCCTCCTGGACATCTCCCTGGTGAGATGTTCCAGGCATGTCCCACCGGGAGGAGGCCCAGGGGGAGTCCCAGGACACGCTGGAGGGGATATGTTTCTCGGCTGGCCTGGGAGCACCTTTGGTTTCCCCTGGAGGAGCTGGACCAAGTGGCTGGGGAGAGAGGCATCTGGGCCTTCCTACTGAAGCTGCTACCCCTGTGACCCGACCCCCGGATAAGTGGAAGTAGATGGATGGATAATGCTAAATCAACACAATTAACATTTAAGTTTAAAGCTTTAGACCGTAGAGGATAATGTTTAAATATAATTTCATGAATATTAGCCTAAATATTAGCCTAATCTGAGATGTATAAAAGTCCAAAGTGGTCTGCTATCAGATCCAAAACACAGAGGGAGACTGCTTGATATGGTGGCAGTTTTGCCAGGTAATTTAGGGCAGACATTGTGGCTCAAGGGGAAAAAACAATGATAAAGAAAACCAAACCAAATTAAATGAATATGTGATCTATTGGGAAAATGATTGACTAATAATTTGTCAATGCTAAACATTTCAGTTTTGTAGCCGTGCACCCCCATGCTGTGTCCCAACCAGGTTCATTCCCCCATTATCCCTTACATGTTCAAAAATCAAAAAGTGCTTTTTAAACAGAACAAAGCTTTTTTTTTTAAATAACCATATTAAAGGTGACAGAAACACATCATGACAAAAAACAGTTAAAATAACAACCCCATCATTATAACATGTTATGAAAATATAATTAGATCAGAATTTTAGATAAACTTCAGTTAAGTTATGCACAACATCAGCAACAGGATCCTGTGGATTTTCAGAAAGAGATGCTCGGGTTGGTCAGACCTCCACAGAAAACCTTTAAACGTTTCTGCTCTGAAGGCGGTTTCACGGACTGAACTCTGATAATCTACCTATGTGTGTGTTCTCACTTTTTTCATGTACTTGATTCTCAATGCAATTTTCACTCATAATTTATGCCGCAAATTTAAAACCCAAAGAACTTTCATTTGAGTTGTATTCGATGAAGAGAGGAATAACTTGGTAGAGAGGCACAGAGTAACAATACGAGAACTTGCTTTGATTAAAAACTGTTGTTAATCTGATGAATAAAAAGTTATTTACTGATTGTTTCACAGCGATTACATTCAGTAGATGGATATGCCCACATCTCCCTTAATCCCCCACCATCACTGGTTGCTGGTGTTCCTGTCTGAAGAAAGGTTAAATTTGCAACTTTAAGATTAACTGCACTTATGTGAATCACATCAGCCAATGAAAAGTGTTACAGATTCACATGAGGGCAAAAAATGTTGTCTACATCCAATGTTCCCAGTTACAGTAGCAGAGTGCATCAGTGTAGCCGGTTCAGCGTCACAGCACCGTGGCAGCTCTGTTTGTTTTAAAGCAGAGGCAACAGATTAGTGTTGTATTACAATAGGCTTCCTATATTGGGAAAAGATTTTTTTTTTTTAAATTATATAAAGTTTTCCTCTTATTTAATACTTGTTCATTGAAATTACAGTTTGATTTTAAAGTTTTGCACAGCAAATGTTTATTTACATGCCATTATTGTGTAAAGTTTGATAGTGTCATAAGATTTATACATTAAACCTGCAAGTTACTTGTCAAGCGCACTCTGGTAGCTAAAATTTACAGTTTTTCTTTAAGAAATAAGTTATGATTAGTTTATTAAAATTCATCTGCTTGTCATTTATTAAAGCAGAGCAAACAAATAGAAATATAACTACCCGAGGCTTTTGGTTTTGGAACAAAACTGATTTGAAATATTACACATTTAATAGGCACAAACCATTTTAGCAAAAATGTCCTTGTAGCTGAGAGAAACACTTTTTGCCATTTTTAAACCCCTCATGACTTTTATTTTTGTAATAGGAAAGAATTCATTTCTGCTGAAATATAATTTTTCTTTTAGAGCACTTTTGTTTAAAAGTAATTGAGATCACTATAAATTCCTTGGTCTTCTTATTAATACTTTGATGTATTTTGATATTTGATTTAAATGCGATAAGAGCGTTATCCTCCATTCATGGTCTATGGGATTTCTTTTTATGTTGGCCTAACCTTGCAGCCATTGGTAAGCCTTTAAAAAAAAGATTTTTAAGTTAACATTTATGGAAAAAGAGGATAAATTAACAAACTTAAAAAAAGGATAGATACAATGTGTGCTTGTGTGAGTATGTGGCAAAGTAAATTGAGTAAAAGAAGAAAAAAACAGAAATACCAAAGCAATAATATCACAAGGGGAGAGATCAGATGAGGCCCACTCACATATATGTTAGTGTTTTTTTTTTTTTCTTTTTCTTTTGATTATTCCCTGATTTACAGAGATTTGTTAAAAACAGAGGTGGCAGTGTTCTAATAGCACTGTTGAATAGTGTTAAAATAATAATATTAATAAAACAAGGACTGGAGCTTTACTACTATTGATTTTTCAATACTACTATTAAATTTTTCTTAAAAGCATAAAATCTGTATTTTGTCTGTTTTTTAAAAGTGTCACTGTCAATGATATTGGTTATCAAAAACATAATCTCAACAGTATTAACATGAAATAATAATTAATGACATGTTCTTTTTGTACATCGAAACTGAAATAAGTGAACAAAAGAAAAAATTAATAAAAGCAAATTAGGAAAGAATTAATATTGTCAATAATAGTAATAATAGCAACTATTATTATATAGTAGACTGAAAAAGCTGTGTATTATAAATAAGAATGGAATAATTGAAAGTGTTGGTGGAATATTGGTTTTTAAATAAAGAGGAGTAGAGAGAATCTCTGGTTCAGTATTCTCCACGCAGATGTAAAGGATTAGGTTTTTATTGTTTTATGTAAATGTTTATTTTAGTTTTTCAGTTCATGAGTATATAGTATGCCTGGCGACGACTAAAGCAGCAAGCAAAGTTATTCAGTTTCTTGTTTTATTGTCACGTACTGTTAGGTCCCCTAGCAAGCAGAGAGTTTGACTGGGTTGCTAAAACGGGTAGCATGGATATATGAATTAGTGCAGGGTAAAGAAAATACATTTGTGAATCCCATTTTACCTAAACTGTCACCGGTGTACAGGGCTCTATGGAGAATTCTGTATTAAATTAATGAAGATTTTTGGGGAAGTAGTAAATATTTTTACAGCTTAAGTACAGAAGCCAGAATCTGGAGCAAATGAAAACTTTTTTTCCTCATTAGTTATTGGTAATGCACTGGAAAAATGATCTAGAAATAAGTCAGAATTTCTTAAATTAAGTGTATTTACCCTTAATTTGGGTAGGTAAATTAGATAGTTTGCCAATGGAATGAATATTTTTACTCTTAAAATAAGATAATATGCACTTGATATAAGACAATGCAATTGTTTTTTCTTATCTTAAGTGTAGATTGTCTTGTTCCATTGGCAAAATGTCTCTTTTACCTCCTCAATCCAAGAACAAATGCACTTATTTTAATAAAAAATGACTTATATAGATATAGATTTTTTTCCAGTGTATTGATTAGCTTGAATATTTGATGTTTTATGGTATTCTTTGGAAAGTTTTTCTTAGGAGACTTTATATTCACATTTTTTTATTACTTATTATTTTTGATACTGATTGTTGTCAATATTGATGATTTTAGCTGCAGGAACATAATAAATTAATTAGTTTAGGACCGAGTCCAGTATAAAGAGTATAAATAATGTGTTGGGTTTATTGAGGTGTCTAATGTGTTTATTGCCCTTGTGTAAAAACTTGGTGGTGTTTGGGTAACTTTAACAACTTTGGTTTGGACGATGGAAATTTGGTGGATCTTCCACTGTTAGGCTGTTAGGGCCGAAGATATTGTTACTTCCTTAAAACAAAAGTGCCGTTCCATGGGTTTATCTAAAAATGGGATATCATATATGTTTATAAGTGATTTGTGTATAATTAGAGCTTTTACAGTCTTGATTATTTAATCCTTGGTGTTTTGTTTTTTTCATTAGAAGTGAGTAGATACAGAATCAATGGTTTAAAACAAGGAGAGGTGATGGTGAATTGGTATCATTAAGAATATCAAAATAATTTTGGGTAGTACAGTCATTTTATCTGCCAGTTAAGGGTTGTATTTGTGCAAAGGCTTGTTATGGGATCTGTTGACAAATCCTCCAAAAGCTCAGTTTTAACTCAGACATGAGTGTTGAGTAACTTGCACCTGCAGTTTCTGTTATAATGCGTCCCAGTTGTATCGGGTTTAGGTCAGGAAACCTTAGGTCCTTCCTTCCTTCTTTCCTTTTCTACTTACCTAAGCACTTACTTAAATTACTTCTTTCTTAAGTCAGTAAAATGTATTTATTACAATAAACGCCTTTCACAGATAAAGGATCGCAAAAGCAATGTACTGGAAACAAACAAAACAACACTTAAAATGGAAAATAAACTAAATAAGTTATAATTACATTTAAAATAAGCATTCAACAAAAGACCTGGTTACAAACAATGGGTTTTTTTTTTTGGGGGGGGGATGTTTTTAACTGTTTCGCCAAAGAGTCCACAAAGTCATATAAAGGTAGCTTCCTCCTCTGCTTTAAATTTGGTTCAGGGAACAACTAACATTACTATTTATTCTGAAGCCTGACTTATCAATAATCAAAGCTGCATCAGGAAAATACCACATGCCACAGTAAGCTGTTTCTACGAACTTAGTGGCTCAGGCTTTTCTGCAATTCTGCAGCCATTAAGACAAAACACCAACAACTTTGTTCATTATATTTTCCTTTATATTGGCCTTTATATTATTAAGGATGAACCCTCGACTATATTGTTGTGTCGAGCCTTCATATAAATTTTCCCAAATCTGCCTTCAGCCACACTGGGACAGCTGTCCTTCTGTGCATCTGTTAGACAAATTCAGGTATATAACTGCTCACATGCTAACAATTTTTTCAAAATATACATAAACAGAAAGGGATCAATGTAAATTCTGTCAATTCTTTCTTCTACAGTAAAAGGAAAAATGCAATTTCAAGATTTTTTGGGACATAAATCGCTTATTTTTGGGACATAATTTATAATAAATTAACCTCGCAATGTTGAGTGACCAGTTTACACACAGAAACGGTAAAACAGAAGGAATCCTTTGTAATGATGATTTATTTTGCAGTAGTCTGTATATCTTGATAAACTAGACCCCAAAGACTGATTCAAAATAGAATTTTAGTCTGGGGTAGCAAAATCGATCTATGGTTTGGCTGCTGTGAAATGGTCAGACAAGCTGAAATATTAAGGTTGCTAGATAGATCTTTTGAAACACTCCCTTTTTACAGTTCTGGGGTTTTGCCATTTTTAGAGACGTTATGGGAAACTTTCCAGAAGAAATGCAGAATGGACGACAGCAGAGAGAAAACAGGAAGTGGGGAGAGAAGACAAAGGCCACACAGTTTCTGTCTGCGAAGGAAAAAGAAACAAACTATAAATTTCTCCAAAGATCCACCAACACTGAAGGAGAAACCGGACTTATTTGGTAACGCTTTATTCATCATCTGTATTTGCAGTGATTTGAACAAGAACTGTCTGAAATATTGATGTGCTACAATCTACCACAGTTAAATGAAAATAAAGATAGGTTTCGATTTTGTTTTATATATATATATATATTTATATATATGTACATTATGAGACATTTCACGTGTTTCGTTTCAAACACAAAATGCCGTCGCACAAATATGCAGTCTGCATTGCTCACATAGCTTATGTCATTCTAGGAATCATCATACATTTGGCAGTGTAGGCTTACTGCTACATTAGGAGGACATTTTCATGCAAACATTCACCTTATGCTGGAAGAAAGATGTATTTGCAACTTACAAAATGCACATTAAAAAAATGGAAAAAAGAAGTTCACATTGTCAGATATAAAAGTTTTCTCTGTTCCAAAAGAGAGCCGCAGATTTTCCTGCAGCTAAATTACGCTAAACACTGGTAAATCACTTAAAGTGAAGCGGAAAAATCACATGATTCTAACCACCAATGAGAATTGGAAGTGTGTCGCAAGGAAAACAGCCATGACAGAAGCACAGAGAAAGAAAACAGCATGTCCTGATTTTACCATGTTCGGCCAACAAGGGGGAAATACGCTTGTACTTTAACTGATAGAGGGAGATGAATAACAAACTTAAGTAGAGAAAATCCTACATCAAGCTTTTTTAGTCCAGTTTGCAATTGTATACCTGCTTCTTTTGCATATGTATGCAATGAAACAACTAAAAGGAAGTGATCCTGCTGATTTCAACCTTTACGAAAACAAGATTATCATGTGGCAGTAAAAAAAAATGTAATAAACAAAAGGCCCACTGATGAAAAAAGCTGTGGAAAAAAAAAACATATGTAAGACAAAAGACTGTCTAACAGTTCAGCAGGGGTGATATTTTTAATAGAATGCAGCTATGAAAGCTTGCACACTTGTTGACGTGTTTCCTCCCTCCATGTCTGCAGCTGAGGTTAGACTTGGCCGTTTCTAGTCATGATCTGCACTGAAGAGAGTCACATGTTTTATTGCAGCCGGTCGTCTGTCTGGCGGACGGCACATAGGGCAAAAAATAGCTGAGAGGGTAACAGTCTGCAGGGCTGCAAAAAAAAAAAAAAAGGCCTCATCCCAAGAGTCGCAGCTGATCTTGCTTTTCCTGATTCATTTTCATTTTATTATTTACTTTTTTTTTTTTTACATTTTGGTGGTCAATCTTTTCACAAATGTATTGTTGTTTGAGGCAATTTCAACAAAACTGATAGTTGTTTGTCTTCATCAGAGGCTGCTCCTCTTCGCCGTGGTCACAAGACTGGTCACAAGGGCCATCATGACACTTGGGCTGGTCATACGCATCGGCCTCTGTGACCTCCTGCTGCAGATTCTGGTAGATTACCTGAGAAAGGAAGCATATAAAGCTCTTATAGGTGAGGCATCATTTATTTAACACACTTTTTTCTAATTCCTGGTTTCATCTGTGACAGAAACCTCATTATACTGTGATGTCCAGTCTAGTTTCATGCCACAGCATCACTGCTCTTCCTTAGACTGCTTTTTGTCATAGTTAGTTATAGTAAATTAAACCAAACAGCCAATAACTTAAATCAGCCAGTGATGGAAAACTACTTATATACTAATTGTGTTCCATGGACCTACAATTTGCAACAGAAACCCAGTAATAAGTAACTTATTCTAGTTCAAATCAGAAAATGGGTACACTTTACAAATGTTGAACAGAGTTATACAACATCAAGCTAAAATCTTGGGTCAAGGCAAGCTATTATAGATATATTTCTTATGTTCAGACACTTATAAAGGTATATATGCTATAAATGAGTAAACAATTAGCTTCTTTATAGATTTCTTCTGGTTTCCTTTCTGTCATTTAAAGGTTTCAGATCATTAAACGAATCATCTTATTATATCAGACCAACCATAACAAATACAAAATTCAATTTCTTATCTATTTTTATTAAAGGGAAAAAACAATCCAAACATACTGTCCCTATAAAAAAAACAAAACATAATCAACCGTTAAACCTAATAACTGAAGTCCAAAGCTGCCATCAGGGATTTGTAACACCAAACAATGAGTCTCTTACATCCCTGTAAATGGGACCAAACTACAAACACGTTGGAAAGTTTTTGAGCATGATTGGTTAGTTTAAGGTCACAGAGTCTTAACTTTAATCTGATAAAAAATACGATAGGACCTGGTGTTCTTTGGATCGTTGCCCTACAGAAAAATCAATGTTGTTTTAGTTTGAGAGCAAGAATGGATGGTATTGCTATATAAATAAATACAGATATGACTATCTGTTAGGGTTTCCTGGATCAGAGAAGAGTTCATAGACTCTAAGAAGAGTTGAAGCACTAAATCTGCTCTATAACATCGAACCTCCACCAACAGGATTAAATGTTGCTATTATTTTATTTTCCTAAAAAGATGTGTTATATTAATGATAGCTATAATAACACACACACCTTCCAGACACTTCCACATTGGTCTTTGTTCTTATATTTATTTCCATATTGGTGTTTTTTTCTTTTTGGTCCTGTTATCGTTTTCCTAATAATCTTGGTGATAATAAATCTGAGATGGATCTTCTTTTTGTTTTAAGTCAGCATTTGTTTTTTTTACCTATGAACTTGTCCATGGGTGCCACTCTATTGTCGAATGAACTGTTGCAGTGTGACCTACCCAATGGAAGCCAAGATTTAGATGCTGTTTTTGTTTTTTAATGCCCCGTCTGTTTGGGTTGGTGGGCCGCTACAGAAAAAAATTCAACATACTCCATTTTTTTTCTTTATTTGTGGGCAATGGCTGTATATCAAGGATCAGTTGAATCCAATATGCTTAGTAATGGCTTTGTAGACTAGTTACAGTGATCAAACCATTTTATTTCCCTTAACTTTATTTGTCTATGTGATTGTTTTAAGTTTGAAAACAGGAAAACAAAAATAAATGTGAGAATTGATGAGACACAAATTATCAGAGGTGCAAATAAACTGTTTGTTTCCCCAGCTTCACTTTAAAATGTTTTATTTTTAATTATTTTTTTGTGATCGTTGGAGAGAAGGCACCGGTAACAACTAACCTGATGAATTAGGATATAGCTCAAAACTTGGAAATAAAAAAGTTTGTCTGGAGCATCACATGGTTTCCGTTTGTTCACAGATTTGATTCAACATTAACTCACCTGCCCCTGCTCAAAATGGCCGCCGAGTAGTTTTTCTATCATCTGTGAGATTTTGCTAAAGGTTGGACGCTTTGTAGGCTCCAGATTCCAGCACATTTTCATGATGGCATACCTGAAATGAACCAGGACAGAAATAGGGGGTCTTAGCATCCTGTCAGTGGTACGCAATAAAGCCAAATCAGGGAACAAACTAGAAAGGCAGGGTAGGCAGTGACGCAGTTTGATAAGAGAGGCTTGTTCATAAGAATCATCAACCCTTGAATCCCATTTTGAGGCCATGAAAAAGCGAGTTTCACGGCTTCCTGGCTCTGGGATCATGTGGCTAACAGGCAGAACCGAGGCCTGACTCACAACAGGACAACAGATGACAAGGCCCTGACTCTGATTCAGTACCCTCAATTTCCACAGCTCAGCGATTCTGCCTCGTGTGACAGCCGTGCTAAATCGGTGCACACAGATGTTGCAGCTCCTCCAACCCCGGGACGCAGGGCAGAAAACATTTCGTTTTTCACTTCTAGACTTTGCAGTTTTAACTAACTGAATTTGAGGTTGAGTGAAATAATGGCAGCTCTTCATCTGCTTATCTCCAAAATCAGCATCTCAGATATGAGATAGGCCTGAAGACATCAGAGTAGAGGAAAAGGCCTCTTTTTGTTTGGCTGTGATAAACACTGCTGCAGCCGGGTGGTTTATCTGTGATGCTCTACTCATCTTATAAATAATCATCAGCCAAAATATTATCAGCTTAAAGAGTCCCTTGCATGTTATTTCATAAAATATATATAAAGCACAGCAAGCTAAATGACTACAGCTCTTACATCTACATGCTGGGAGGCAAATATTAAGTCTGGGTTAATTGTAAAACCCCTGCTGATAATCACCTGATGCTCCACTAAATTTCATCTGATAATGAAGCCATGCTAGGCAGAGCTTTATGGATTGAACGTGTAAAGGAGGCACTCAGCTGGTTGCTGAGGGCAGAAGTGTAGATAAGCTGCAAAGCTTACATTTCGAGGGGAGCAAAGTCAGGCTGCGACATCTGGTAACCACGCTTCACCATCTTGTAGAACCTGGAGTCCACTGCCATGCTGGGATATGGACTCTGACCTGGAGTAAAACCAGAAAGATTATCATTGCTGCAGGTACATCATGAACTAATAGGTCAAAGCAATAAAACTGTTGAGATTATTCTTACCCAAAGAGAAAATCTCCCATAAGAGGATGCCGTAGGACCAGACGTCACTCTGCACGGTATAGACACAGTCAAAGATGCTCTCTGGTGCCATCCACTTCACAGGCAGACGGGCCTTAACACACACAAAATGGAATCCCTTTAAACAACTCAGAATGAATAAATAAATTCATCTTAAAAGTCAAAACAGATGTTTAAACACACTTTAGAGGGAAGGTTTTTGGGTTTGAATCAGTCAAAATTATCAAAACTTCCTTTGCTTAAGGTCGGGGTAACTTAAAAACATGGATAGTAATGTGGTGACATTCCAAAACCTCTAATTAGGAAAAATTAGGAAAAACAATCTTGAAATACTGGAAGAACATCCAACAACATCAAGCGGGGAGCGGAAACTTTGGCACTAATGGTTCTTCCAATGGAAAATCTCCTCAAGAATTCAACCAAATCAGTTACAGAGATCCTTAAACACAGCAAGGTCAGTGTTCACCACAAAGCCATGATCTAGAGCCAAAAAAAACCAAAATGTCCTTAGCAAGTAAGCTTACAGAGCGACTGTCCCATCTGCCGGCAGCTTTTAAAAGAAAAATACAATTCTTAATTTAAGTTATACAGTTAAAAAAGTATTGATTTCAAACTCAAAGAAACAGATTTTTTAAGCCTCTGAATATAAAGAAGGTAAATAAATCTCACAACTTATTTTTTAATTAATTTGGGATTCAGCAATCAGAAACAATTTGGTAATCCTGCATCGAAAGGAATTAAGGATTATTAGGGAAAATAAGGGGAAATAAACTAGAGAGTGAGACAAAATTATGCATCTATTCTATAGTGCATATAAATATATGGTTTCTTTTGTACTTACTTTTCTTTGTTAAATATAGCTAAAACAAAATTAGTAATATTTGATCAGATTTGGTCTAAAATATCTAAAAAAATGAGAAAATTGTCTAAGTAATTTTAATATTTAAAAAAATCATTCTTTAACCTTGACTGGACAAAACTGAGATTTGAACATTTTTAAATCAAGCTGCTTCCCGATTCTCTTCTGTAAGCGTAATATTTAGTGTTTGAGATTCATTCCGGCATCATATGTTTTCTAATCTCTGGTTTAGTTTAAATTAACTTTTGCATGTCAGGGGATGTAAAAACCATTGTAATGAAGACTAAACATTTATTTTATCAAACACTTTCCATTAGATGTCAGGCAGCTTTGGTGAGATTGTTCTTGTTTCATTTCGATGCACTTTTTGACAAACTGCTGTTATGAATATTAAATTCTCTTGTTTGTCCTGTTTTTCATTTGAGTTTAATCTTGCCATTTTGGTCCACACAGCATGGAGATCAACAGACAGATCTACTGACAATGCCCTGGTGCTGTTCTGCAGACTAAAAGCTTAACTTTCAAAGTAAAAAAACTGCTTCCTGGACCCTTTTGAATTTTAACCACTTGGAAAGATGAGCATTTCTAAAGTTCAGAGATGTTAGGCAGCCTATTTGTAATAATTCACAGTTTGCTCGTCATGTGAAAATGTATTTTCTCTTACATTTTTCGTTCCAAGTGAGGTATGAGCCCTTAGAACAACACTCTGTAGCTCAATCTCACAACTTTCTCGCTTTATGCCTTTAGACCTACTATAGAGGAATAACAGAGCCTAAAGATCCCATCTTATTTGTAATTTCTTCACTTGTCTGTTGTGTGTCAAAACCCCTGAAATGTAATCCTTGTATCCTAGAGCTTTTCTGTTATGAGTTAAGAATGAATTGGTCAATTGAAAGAAAAATCCAGTTAAAATTAAAGGAAATAAAAAAGGTGAAGACACGTTTTAATTATCACAACTTCTGCTTAGTTGAAGAAGAAATTAAAAACAAGAATAGATGAATCAGAGGATAAGGAAAAGCCGTTATGTTCATGCATCATCATTCATGTGGCTGTCTGTTTTTGATGCTTCTAAGCAAATAATCAACATAGAAGAAAGAGATTGGTATCCACAGCTTGAAGATGTTAACTTAAATCATCAGATCCAGTCGTTGGCATGTCTAAAATGGCTCACGGTGAGGTGATCAGAGCACAAACATGGATGTTTTCTTTGCAACATTTGACATTCATCAGTGGTTTTCATCAGATAATACCTAAAAACACTGTCTGACTAGAGGCCAATTTTCCTTAGTTTTTCTTTCAACAAAACATAAAACTTCAGTGGAGTTTATGGATTGTGTTGTATTTCTATTTATCTTAACCCAGCTGCATTCGGTTTTATTTATATTATTTATCTATCTTCTATCTTGTTGAATTTGTATTTATTTATTTGCAAATAGATTTAGTCAAGATTTGTTGTTTTTGAATGTGTTACACATATAAAATATATTTTAAGTGAATTAATTTTTTTTTTTTTCACATTCAGTTACCGGTATTTTAAGAAAGTTATAATCTTGTAAAAAAACGGATATTCATGTTCTAAAGAGGGAAGATCTGCCCTGACACTGAGATCATCAGTAGATTTCTTAGTGTATAGCTTCATTAACATACAGGCGGTTATTTTCAAAAGTAAAATGTTGTAAATAAATCTGAGATTTATCCTTGAGATTGAAGATTTTTTATCAAAGGTAAAAAGCCTAAAAATGATCAAAAATGTCAATAAATCCACATTATTGTTTTTAATTTTTAAGTTTCTTTATTGCTTGTTTTAATACGGTATATTTTAATTTCATAAAATTGTGTCATTAATAAAGTTATGTCATAACTATTATTGTGTAATTAAATTAAACTTAAAACTAGATTTTAACATCGATGGACATGAATAAATTCTCTAAAGACTTTGTTAAAGTTTGATTTCAGTTGTGTAATTGTGTAATAATCAAATATCCAGAGTTATTTTTGCAAATCTTAATGTCTCTTGTAAAAGGATGTATTCTGGATTTAATCCAGCAGACCATAGTTATGTCTATAATTTCTTCTGCATTTTTACTCAAACTTTTTTTTAATCTGTCATTGCACTGCTTGACAGCTGGCAAACTAAGCAGATAAATCTTTTATGTCTTGTTTGTCTGTTCTGACATTATTCTGGCATCTAGTCTTTACCAGAAAAAAACTTGCCTGGCGCATAGTTCAGATTGGGATTAGGGGTTGAGTTGAAAAATTAACTCAATAAACATACTATATTCTATAAAATAAAAATTTTAAAGCCAGTATAAGACTTAGCTGATGGGTTTGACCCTTTTGTTTTAGTCTGAGTCTCAAATTATACTCATTATTATTTAAACTCATAAAAGCTGTGATATCATAAGAATTCTATATGTTACTGAAGGTTACCATGCCTGGGGACTCTCATAGTGGTCTAAGCCTGCATTGAATCAAAGTTAGCAGTCAACTACTCGAGTTCTTACATTGCCTTTCACGACATAGTTGGAGTCATTCATGATGTCTCGGGCCAAACCAAAGTCACAAATCTTCGCCTCCCTGCGGTTGGTCAGGAGGACATTCCTAGCCGCGACATCTCTGTGGATACACTGAAGACAAAGCCACACAGTTTGTGTTCAGTTGTAAGTCTTGCATCATTAAAAAAATCTGATTAGTGTGTTTCTAAATATAGAATATTTTTTAATAAAAAGCATTACACTATTATCAGTAAATATTCACAGAGGGAAATTCCCATTCTAATATCCCATGAATGATTTCCCGTGCTACCTTTCATAGTGAAATGATCATTGTTGGAAATGTCTTCTACGTATGCTATCTGCTTCCCTTTCCAGGAATAGCAAAGCATTTGCTTCTAAATATTTTTATAGAAGTATTTTCTAATATAGATTTTGTATATTCTTACATTTCTAGCTGCAAGAAAATCAAGGCCTTGCGCGACTTGAAGGGAGAATCTCAGCAGGTCATCCATGTCCAGTGGCCAGTCACCAGTTTCCTCGCAGTCTAAAAATAGACAAGAAGCAGAAAAATAAGGGTAAATTATTTATTCTCTCTTTTCTGGTGCATAAATCCATGATTGGCGCTGTGTGTACCTTGAGATTGTTCTGCATTAGGCAACTGACAAGGTCTCATCTCCAGGTAAGTGCTTGAGGCCACACTGGAGATCCCACTGTCACTGTTAAATGATTTATCACAATGAGTGTGTTTTCCTTTTCTTATTTTTAAACCTGTGCAGATGTTCAACGTTTGATGACGAACCTTCTGATAAATTTTTTCTGAACACAAATGTTTTTATAATCGTTGCAGCTCTCGCTGATGTCGGGAATACTCATGACGAAGTTTACGAAAGTCTCTGCCTTTTGGCGTAGGAAGTTCAGCAGATCACCCAGGCTGCAGTACTCAGTGATCACAAGTACTGGTCCTGAAAAGGAAATACACTTTTAATACAATTTACACTCGATTTTGCATGGATTCAACAAAGTTTCATGAGAATTTTTCATGCCATCTGACCTCCATAAGTACAGGCCCCAAGCAGATTGACTATGTTTTTGTGGTGCCCCAGGTGACTCAGGATCTTCAGCTCAGACATTAGAGCCTCCTTCTCATCTGAGTGGGCACAGGCTACACATACATTGCATAGGCCATAAAAAAATATCTGTTATTTAAGGTTTTTTGGGGGGTTACTTTCAATAAAATACTATAATACAAAAAAATTAATAAAATCACCTTTTAACATTTTCACAGCCACACGCATGACATTGTCCTCCTCTCCCAGACCATAAGCAGTTGCTTCAACAACTTTTCCAAATGCACCTGCACCTAAAATCTTTCCTGTCAGGAGACAAAGCACATGGGGAAAAATATTTTAGTGCTTTTTGTTGTGTTGATCAGGGAATTGTCTTTATCTTTAGCCAGCCCTTTGCTTTAGGCTAAGCTGGATAGGGCAGGAGTTTAATTCTTTTTTTTTTTTAAGGAAAGGGAGTCAGTATCACTCCCTTTTAATCCCTTTTACATCGTAAAATTGAAAAAAATTGGAATATATGTATAGAGTGTTTGAAACAGACTATAATTAGATTGGATAGGAACGAACTGGATTAATCTAAATTAACGTAACTCTGATTTGATTTCCATATAAAATAAGTATCTTAAGTGCTTTAAAAGATGATACTTGGTCTATTTTTTTCTAGATACTCTTAATAAAATTCTAATTGATTTCAGTTAAATGATAATCAATAAGAAATTCTAAGACTTTTCTTATTTAAAGATCATGTTTATAACCTAGTTTGAGCTTGTCTCTTGGGAACTCCAACTTCTCGTTGTACGGCAGCTGCGTGGGATCGATGAAAGTGTAGTTGTTGCCATCCCTGGCCTCAATGATCTTCCAACGGATTTCATAACGAGGTTTCTGTAAATAAAAAATCAGAAAACAGCTCTTCCTGTGGTCCTTCAAAGAGTTTTCAGTATTTACGTGAATTTTATTTACCTGCTTGTATTTGTAAAGCAGAATAACCAGCAGCAGCAGGAGGATGGCCAGAATGCCTGCCGCTCCACTCAGGGTGGTGGTGAAGAGCTTGTCTGTCAGATCAGAGGACAATATATATTAATCCTTAAGTGTTGTAACAGGCACAGTGGAAAACTGTGATTGCAATTGTTAAGATCCTCACCAGAAACTTCCATGGCGAGTGTGTCTCGACTCACACCAACAAGATTGAAGGCTACGCACTCCACAGTCATCCTCTGGCTGGAAGGTCCAACCGTAAGGACACTCTCCACCTCCACAGCGCCGTACTCTTCTCTCTGGACTTCCACAGTGGGAGCCTTGAGAGGGATGGCCAACTGCAACCCTGAGGTGTTTTCGTTGCACCTTAACCAGTCAGAGAAAGATAATAATCTTAATGTCTAATTTTCTGGGTGAATTGAGTGCAAGCTTAACAGACATTACATTCAGGTTTTACTCACGTGGGTCGTATTCCCACACACTGATACCAGATAATCCTTGGAGCCGGATAGCCAAATGAGGTGCAAGTCAGAGTGGTTACATTTTCCCATCTAACAACCGCGTTAGGTCGCTCTGGCAGTGATTAAACAGAGATAAATAAACATGATTTTGATAAATTGAGAATTGATAAAAAGGTACTTTAATGAAAAAAAACCTAGGATCTCACAAAAACTGGCCAATGTTTTTTGAAGCATTAGAGCCATGATGCCTTTCTTCAAAAAGATAATTGGCTCCAACCCTGGTCAGAGCTCTTTATGGATAGAATTAAAATGTTCTCTCCACGCTTGGATGCATGACTCTTTCAAGTTAAAATCAGTATCTCTGACTCTTCAAAAAACATGGCAATGGCTAAATGGTTTCTCTGAACTGCTCTTACATGAGAGTATAATTGCATGGTTGTTTGTCCAGTTTGTTTCTGTGCTCGTTTATGATAGACTTGCAAACTATCCAGGGTGTTCCCTGCCTTTGCCGCTAGCACACTTGTTATCCTGCAAGGATAACTGGTTGTATAGAGGTTGTATGGCTGAACTTGAGATTCTAGGGTGAGATCGCTGCATCATTCTTATGATCACTCTTAAGAAAAAAAATGCAGCAAAGATATAAATTGCATGTATTTATATTTCTTGTTATTTATAAAAGGTCTTGTGGGTGTCTGTGCAAAACCAGCTCCACTAATTTCATCTGCCACTGTGTCATTGTCTTCTGTCTAGACTTTTTTAGACGTTTTGCTAAAAGATATCTTTTGAAATGTATCAAAAACCCTGGGAATCTCCTTAAGGTATGTTAAAGAAATAAAATAAATCTCTATTGACATTAGCAGGTCTCAGTAGCTTTAACATCTCTCCAACAGTCAAGGTAAAAGACATCCATTTATTATATCAAGAAAAAGACAGATGAGTTTGTTTGACTTACGATACATTTGGACTTGAAATGAGATGGATGCATTGGTTGAATTACTCCTTGCATAGAAAGTATATTGGCCCTGCTCCTGTATGTTCATTCTTTTCAGCTGCAGGGTTGCATGGTATCTAATAACGGACAACAAAACAGATCTTATAACTCAGAACAAAGAAATATTTATGGAGCAAGTAAGAAGAAGTGACTAATTCTGTGGTTTGTATTCAGACAGTTTCTATGTATCACTCCTAAGTCCAAACTTAAAAACAGGACATTGCTCTTCCCTTTAGCAGTTTTTTTGACCTGAGCGGAGATGTGATGACCTTCATGTTCCCTGTCAAATTTACGAAAATGCAGTGACAGCATTTCAGAACAACTTCCTCTTCTGCACTACAATCTAGCAGAAGTTAGACCTACAGAATATTGATCTCAGTGCTCCCCACCACTAGTTAGAACTGAAGAAGCCTCTTGGATGAGAGGCGAAACATCTTCTAGCAAACTTCATGTCCAGTTGCCTAAACTAAAGCTTGACCATGACCTGGATGTTTGAGAACCTTCACAGATATGTTACAATCTAGCAGCTGGATGATGCTGTCTTTTACATGCAGGGCTTACAAAACAAACTGTACCTGTTGTTGTATCGGATGAACTTGTGCTCCTGTGAGGATTTGTTCGGAGGTGTTGGAGTCAGCCATCTATGCTCCGTGATATGAGGGTAGGCTTCAATGAGCAAGCTGAGCTCCAAGTCCTCTCCCTCGTTGACCACAACAGAAAGACCCTTTGGGGCCAGTTTGGGTGAGAGTTGGGGAAGCAACCTGATGTAGGGCTTGTCTGTTTGACATATGAAAAGTTCAGAAAAATCACAACACTTTATGTATGTCAAAGTTGAATCATAGAAGATGTGACTAGTTTGTTTCTTACCCACAACCAGCAGGTAAGTAGTCGTACTGTTCACTCCGGCTTCATTTGTACCAATGCAGGAGATGTTTCCTGTGTCTGCGAGGTCAACCGCAGGGATTGTGAGGATGCTCTGGATATCCAAACGATTCTCTCCATTGGAGCGAACAGTCTCCTCTATTGTTGGGTTCTGTGATGAGAGATAAATACTGAGCCAAAGTCCGGATTAATGCTACAGACAAGTTTTCAAGAAAGACTCTCACTGACCGATTTGGTGGTATATTTCCACGTGACGTTGTAGTTAAAGTTTGGATTGTGTGTCGTGCAGCGAATCTTAATTTCTTCCCCAACTATTCGTATATATTCATCAGTCTCCAAGAAGACATAAGGAGGAAAGCGCAGCTCTAGAGCAAGAAGAAAATATTTGGCTATTTGACATTTAAAAGGTTTTGGTGTATCAGTTTTGTATGGCAATGTGATCTTACTCTGAATGACGTTGATGGAAAAGGCCCTAGAGGTTCTTTCCTGTCCATTGACTTTAGCCGTACAAACGTAATCGGCATTGAAGCTTGGGTGGAGGTTGTGGATTAGGATGCCACGGTGCCTATCCACAGTGAAGTTCATTCCCGGTGGCACGGTCGTGCCGTTGTCCATGCGAAGGCCCAAATCAGTGGCTGAGGGGTCTGTTAGCAGGCAGGGTAGCAGGAAGTTCTCACCCTCCTTCCTTACCACACGGAGAGATGTGCTACTGGTCCAAAACACTCGCAAGGGGTCTAAAATGGACATAATAATGTGAGAAATTATCCTAGATAATCACTAAACAGTTAGCATAAAACACACCTTAACTGATCCTACTCACCTTTTACATATACATGCAATGAGGAGGCCAGATCACTGGATTTGGGTCCGGCAGTGTAGAAGCACTTGTATGTTCCGGTGAATTCTGCCGAAGGCCGTTCCACCCTGAAGATGCGGACGTTCCCACTGCTTCTAGACATAAATCGCCTGTGTTTGGCAAGCCTGGGTTGCCAGCTCACAGGACCGTTGCCCTCACACCTCAGATCCAGAGGCCTGCCAACCCTAACCACCACCTCAGGGTTTGTCACCACCTTGGAATTGACTTTGATTATTGGACGCCTCCATTCCACTGTTTTAGAAAAAGAAAACATATATTTCTTCAGATCAATCAAGATTTAGTATGTGTTTTAGTCTGTTAATCCATATGTCTGATAAATGAGTCAGACTTATTTTGGAAGTTATATCTCCTTTTTGCTAAATTCTCACTTCTGCTTTTCATAAAAATATCAAAACTGATTCCAGGCCTCTTGCTGTTGTATTAATGTCTATATCCTTAAGACAAAAAAAGAGTACAAGGAACAACTTTAAGGAATTCAGACATAAAAAGTGTAATAGTGATACTCAGAGGTTTTTGAATGTCTCACTGTTAAAAGTGAGCCATGACAAATAAACAGTATTTATCGTGAAGATCAGTCGTTTATTCTATGGCTTTAGTGTGACCTCTATTAGATATGAACAGGTGAGTATTATGGCTGTAAGTGATTCTGTCACTGTTTTTCTCACTCTGTTATCTGTCTTTTTATTTTCAGTATCGCTTTCAAATTTCCTTTTAGAACCCTCTTATGAATCACAAAGGAGAACTGAGATTCCAGGTTCAGCATTTTCTCTTTTCACCACAATATTTCTCACAGTAACTGTGATTTAAACGTTGTTTAACGCCAATCAGCAGTTCCTTGCTTAACCTCCGTGTGTTTGCAATCAGCTGCCTCTCTGGTCCCATCTGTCTTTTGTTCAAGTGAGTGAACTTTTTATCCAAGCTGAAAATAACCCCAATTAGATCTCATGAAGTGGCAAAAGAGCAAGCAAAACTAATCCATTCCGCCTCCAATCAGACCAAAATTAGATGATTTCGCATGTTTAAATTTAAGCACTTTAAAGACACAAAATAATAGCTAGTGGGTGATAATCATTTATCCCAGTCAAAGCTGTGTTCAAATTCAGCAGGAAAAAAAGAGAGAAACAATTTGAAGAATGACCCCACAAACAACTCATGATGTTCTTGTTGATTGTTCTGCTCATTAGACTCAGTATTGTGCACCAACTCGGCAAGCCACTAATGAATGCAGTAAAATGTTCTCATGGAAAATACTTTATTTATGCATTTAACAAAATATCATATGAAACCATTCTTTTTTTTTTTAGTTTATTAAGATCTTCCTTATCTTAAGAATGTAATACACACCTCACGCTTCAGGAACAGGAATTAAACTAGGAGAGCAAAAAAGATCAAAGATTTATCTTTGCAGGGTTTGCTTTGTCTTACCTGAAGCTGCAGAGGCCACAAGTGCCAGCAGCAGTGTGAGGAAGGACTCCATCATGGATAAACTCCAGACCTGCTGATTAAAAACAAATACTAGCTTCTAAGCACTTTGTATTTAATCTGTTGTGTTTTAAAATCTGTTGTGTTTTAGAGAAAGACAGAGAAATGGAAAACTGTCTCAGGAAGTTTTGTTATGTCTGCATCCCTTCTTTTACTTCTCTATCTTAACCACTGAGAGAAGTTTACATTTGTGAGAAAGACTTTTATCACCAATTATTAGCCAACAGAAAAGAAGCAAATCTTCCATCATAGAATGATAAATTATGTCTCACCTCTAGTTGTCTTCAGCTTAAAATAGAGATTCAAAAACGTCCCTGGGATTCTGAAGTTCCCACCATCCAAATGTGGACACAAAACTCCCTTCTTCCCTCTCTGTTTGTCCGTGTCCTTATTACTCCTTTGTGCTTGTTTACAGTCAGACAGCAAACATCAGTGAGTGAGGGCTGAAGGGTGGAGAGAACTGTGCATGTGTCAAGGAGGAGGCGGTTCAACTTAGCCTGCTTGACAAATTAATGAAGCATTTCAAATTTAGAGGTGGGATCTCTATCTGTGCTGACCTGTGGCTTTAAGGCTTTTTTTGGGAATTGATATTAGAAGTGGGGGATAGTGATGGATTGGTGACATAAAAGTGTAAAAAACAAACAAAACTGATCTTTTAGAAAATTTTATTCAGTTTATTCCATCTGCTTTGTACCAATTCACAATAGGGGTCATCTCAAGGTATGTTGAAGTATGAATGAAACGCAAACTTTGGTTAAAGTAAACTAGTTTATTCCAAGCTACTGTTGGACTCATATAATTTACACAATTTAAATAGATTTTACCTGTCAAACTAAAATTTAAAATTTTTCCCTTCAGTCATCTGCTGGATGTTGATGGGGGTGATAACGAAACCCAGACATCTGTCTCATTAGCGGGTATTTGAATAGAACGATCAAAAGCCTAAAAAATCTCATATGTCTCCTTCTTGATAAAGTAAACAATAAATTCACAGAATGCCAACTCAGTACAATTTACAAAGACAGTTTGATATTTTATCAATTGGTTGAATGTTTTCTACTAAAGAAAATCTTTGCATTGATTCATTGACTTTGCAGAATTAGCTCCTTCCGGATGAGCCGGTAGCGACGGTGAACATTTGTTTGCTTGGTGTTGTTGACTCTGAACCAATCCCTCAGGTAAGTGAAAGGTGAGGCCCTAAACAAGAGGACCCATGGCGGAGAGAAAGAAGGGATTAACAAAGTGTTTATCTATGATATAGATATGGAAAATAGCAACAACGTCTAAAGCAGGAAACTCTGCAGGAGGAGAACACTGGTTAGTGACCACCTCTATGTGGGGGGTAATGATAATAAACATGTGAGTCACTAACCTGGTCTTATAGTTCAGTACGAGCCTAGAGGAAGAGGTTGGTTCCAAGCGGTCGGCTGCCAAAAAAATGCAGCAGGTGCCGCCCAGAAAGTCCTAGACGCTGAAGTCTCGGAGGTCGGAGGACAGGCAGGAGAGCAGAATCGAGCAGACGAGGAGGACAGGATAATCCAGAGGGTGAAGCCAAAGACAGTGTTAAGTATATGCTCAGGAGTCAGGGCTAGAAAATCAGAGATCTAAAGAGATACCGAAGGGGAATCCAGGACGGTGTCAAGAATCTCTTCCAGGGTCGATAAACAGGCAGAATCCAGCAGGAGTCCGAAGACAGGTCAGGCAAACGAATCAGAACGGGAGCGGGGAGAATCAGAGGTTCAGAGGTAGAACGGGTAAGGATCAGGCCATCACAAACAACTAGATATGCTCGAAAACTCTCCCTAAGGGCTCGAACAATCTAGCACTGATGATTGGTTGAAAGCTGGTTAAATAGAGGCTGGAGCAGTTGGATCAAATGAGAGGTAATGAAAACTGGGCAGGGATAAGCTGGAGAGTGAAATGAGTAATCAAACCAGTCATCAGCGCTAAGATGAAAACACTGTGGCCACTTGAAAGTACAAATAAGTTAAAATCATATCAATTGAAAACATAAACAGAATAATGGAAAGATAGTAACAACTTCAAACAACCTGTACTTTGTACCAAGAACATGGACAAAACTTTTGCCTTGTTTATATAAGGTTGATAATAGCCTTTAAAGCATCACCAGAACCCCTACACCTGAAGCAGACCAACATACAATGCTTCTGGGGACATGGCTGTTAAGTTATCTCCAAATCCATAAAATACATGTAAACCAGAGAAACAAGCCTACCTGAACCTCCCTTACAGGAAAAACACAAATTTAATGTGTTCGCATGGAATTCCCATCTTTAAGATGAAACTCCCATGAATTTCACATTTGATATCCATTTTCCACATGTGGGTCACATTCTCCTCATATGATCAAGCATTTTCTTCATGTAATCCATGTTTCACTCGACTTTTAATTCAGAACTTGTGATCGTATATTTTTCACATGTGGAACACATATTAAGATTTTTCTTCCATGCAAATACCATTAGATTGTGCTCTCCTTTTTACATTTGTTGAAAGCCAACACATTTGTGTTTATGTTTTATGTTTATTCCTACACAATTGTATGTTTTTTCTACGTTAAAGGGGAACACTGTTTTTTTACATTGGGCCCTTGATTTTACGTTATTACATCATATTCTACTCATCCATATTAGTTTTGTGTCATTTGGCGCTGTTCTGAAGATATTCGGTTTTGTAATATCCAAGTAAGTCTTCCTAGCCTTCCTATGGGCAACGAGTTAAAGGCACAAACTAAACTGTTCATAGTTATTCCTTATGGTACGTCAGCATTCATAACATGTAGGCGAATCACTGTCCCCCAGACATCCGCGGTTATATTTTTTATATTTTTTTAAAACAAAGCGGAGTATATATGATGTCATCCGCGCGCCAGACTGGAGTTGTGACAGGCAGCCCGGGCCACAGGCGGCTACGCTCTACCTCTTATATTCATTCGGCTAGCTAATCTGAATCGTTCAATTCCATTTCGAGAGCAAGATCATCTGTTGTAGTAGCAATAGACATCTTTCAGGCATGTGAGTAAAACTAACAGCAGTTCAGCGGACAGGATGAATGAACGGTAGCTGGTGTGGCTTGATCTCTCTATTGACTTTGCCCTGTTGATTATCTTGCCTTCCTTTGTCAGCTCAGATCTGATCTCCTGTCAGCTCTGCAGCCTTCTAGGCTCTCTCTGGC